TTCTACTTTTAGAAATTCTAGGAACCACTAGTAAACCTGCAGATTGAGAGCGAAGTGCTCTGTTAGGAACATAAGGAACAATCAGATCTCTGATATAAGATGGAGCTTGGCCATATAAGGCTTTACATGTGAGAAGGAGGATTTTAAATTCTAATCTGGATTTAACAGTAAACCATTAATTTTAATCGTAACTACATTTTGTGGACTTCCTGATAGTAGAGAGTTACAATTGTCCAGCCTTGAAGTAACAAATGCATGCACTAGTTTCTCAGCATCACCCCCCGACAGGATGTTTATAATTTTTTACAATTTTCCGAAGATGAAAGGAGGAAATTCTAGAAACCTCTTTGATATGGAATTTAAATGACAGGTCCTGATTAAAAAATAACCCCAACTTTTTTACTTTATTATCTGAGATCAATTTAATTCCATCCAAATGAATTAACTGACTAGTCTGCCTCTTTTTTAAAGACTCCGGTCCAAAGACTATAACTTTTGTTTTGTCTGCATTTAGGAGCAGGAAGTTAAGAGTCATTCAGGTTTTTATGTCTTCAAGACGTGCCTGTAATCTATGTAATGGGTTGGCTTCATCTGGACTTATAGACAAATATAGCTTAGTATCAGCCAGCCTGAAAAATATAAGATAGCTTTTACAATAATGTAATTTTGATAAGACACACAGCAGTTTCCTGCCAAAGGGCAAGTGGGAGCCTATTCGCGAACTTGCAAGAACTTCGCTGGATGTCACAAGAACTTTGGCGGCGCCAGTGGAAGTGTTTATCTTCCAAAACAACAATGGCGTCTGTGCAAGATATCAAGGTCAGGGAGGTGGATCTAGAGTTGCTAGATATCGAACAGGTACAGGATCTGTTAATGGAGCGAACCTCCTCAATTAACCTTTTGTCGTAGTTGTCCATAGTAGTTGTTCCTCAATTTTTAAAAATGGCACGTCACGGCACCAAATTGAGAAGGATGACCACACAGACTGCCAAAAAGGCATACCAAGGACCAATCACAAACTTTTATCTGTGTGCTTCCACTTGAGGTCTGCAAGGGTTTGAGATGGTCTGACGAGTAGTTAGGATTTTTCTTGAGGTGCGCAACGATAGTTACAGGATCACTGCGCGGGGGCGTGGTCCAGCACAGAGGCAGATTTGACTGTTGCAGAGGCTATGTGTCAGAAGAATAAAGGGCAGATTATACTTCTGCAACCGCACACATCAAATGGGTCTGGTCTGGTCATGAACCAGTTTTGCTGGTATGCTTCTGCACCGTCGGTCTTGAATTTCTAGGGCCGCACAGCAGTTTCCCTTCAAAGCGCAAGGGGGAGCCTATTCGAGAACTGGCAAGAACTTCGGCGGACAGTCACGAGAACTTCGGCGGTGCCGGCGGGAGTGTTATTTTCCAAAACAACAATGGCACATCTGCAAGATATCACAGTCACAGAGATGGATCTAGAGTTTCTAGACATCGTAGAGGAACAGGTGCTGTTAATGGAGTTGGCAAATCGAATCGAGAGGGACGACCACACACACAGCTGAAAAGGCATACCAAGGACCAATCACAGCTGCTTTTTGTTGGCGCACTTCTGCTTGAGGTCTGTGCAGGTTTGCATCGGTCTGACGCGTAGTCAGGAGTTTTTTGAGGTGCGCGATAACGGTTGCAGAACCTCTGTGCGGGTGGCGTGGTCGCGCACAAAGAGAGATTTCACGGATGCAGAGGCTATGCGACAGAAGCATAAATTGGTCTTAAATTGGCCTTAATGCAGAGAACAATGGATCCTCGAAAAAGCAAGATATCAACTTCATCTTATGCTCAACTTTTTGTACTCGATAATTTGATGTTTTAAAATGGAATCAGAATCAGAATAAGAATCAGATTCAGATTTATTGCCAAATAGGTGTGCACTTACAAGGAATTTGAATTACTGTTGATGGTGCAGAAAAAATAAATATATATACATAATACAAATTCTATAGTTATATACAATATAAAACATACAATATACTAGATACAATATATGGTATATTGCTATGTACTATATACACAGAGTAGGCTGTACATTAATGTAATGAGAGGTCTGGAGATGCTACATCAGTGTAGCTTCTAGGTCCTGAACGGGGGAGGGAGAGAGGCAGTGTCAGTGTCATGGAGGTCTCTGGGCCTTGTTGATAAGGCTGGTAGCGGATGGGAAGAAACAGTTCTTTTGGCATGAGGTTTTGGTCCTGATGGACCGCAGCATCCTGCCAGAGGAAAGTGTCTGAAATAGTTTGTGGTTGGGGTGCGAGGGATCAGCCACAATCTTCCCTGCATGCCTCAGAGTCCTGGAGGCGTGCAGCTCCTGGAGAGATGGAAGATTGCAGCCAATTACCTTCTCTGCAGAACGGATGACACAGTGCAGTCTGCCCTTGTCCTTGGCACTGGCACCAGATTCCCAGATTATGATTGAGAAGGTGAGGTTGGACTCAGTGATGGAGGAGTAGAAGTGCATAATCATTGTCCTGGGCAGGTTGAATTTTTTCAGCTGCCGCAGGAAGTACATCCCCTGCTGGGCTTTCTTGGTTAGGGAGTTGTTGTTCATCTCCACTTAAGGTCCTGTGAGATCCTCACTGAATTTGAAACTAGTTTAAATTGGTTGTTCATAGATGTCCTATGATTAGCTGTTTGCCTTGCCAGTTATTTTCTTTGTAAAGGTGCATTCACACAGAATGCAAAACCTGCAGGCAAATTTGCACCGCTGGTGAAAGGTTCCACTGTGTCATTAAATATGCTGGTCGTCTGTTTCACATCAACAAAGCACACTCTGATTTTACCTAACAAGTTTCTGTGGTTTATTTACTTTGGAAAGCCAAACAAAACCAACAGTATCCCTGGACCTGCACATCCTACAGAGATGCTCCAAGTTAAGCAAGAATCTATGTGTGACAGTGTGGTCCTGTCACTATGCCTCCAATTGATCATGTGTCCCGGCTGCTTTGCCAGGGTATATCCGTCTGGCTGACCGGTCAGCGTGAATGACTTTTACCTGAGAGTCAGTGGCATCAAATCTCATTGTTACTTGCAATATATGGCAGGAAAACAGCTGTTTCCCATGCAGCTCAATGTAGGGTGAGACAGCGCTCTGTTTCCATTTAAAATACATCCACAGCCAGAAGCCAACAGATGCTTTAGCCTTGATACAGAAATATTTCGGACCGATGAACTGCAGTCACGTCTATGACGTCAACCAGTGGTGAAATGCTGCTACTGATTGGCTATGCGTACTCAAGCAGCTCAAAGAATTGTACTGAATGGTGAACCGTAAAATGCCTTAATGTGGTGTGAATTGGCGCTATATAAAAAAACTGAATTGAATTAAATTTTAGACCTTTATGGCTTATACAACTTAAAGAAAAATTTCTGACAGAGTGGAAAAGAGTCCTCTATCTCGTTTCCATGTTCTTGATGCAGTGATCTTGGCTGCAACTGCCAATAAAATCTTTGAAAAAAGCTTCAACACAAAACATTAAACCTCAACCCAACTGTTTAATCATATTCTATCTGATCCCAGATCCAGGATTTGAAGCTGAAGGTTGTTGATCTGGCCGGAGTGAAGAAGCCTGCTCTGAAGAAAGTGCGTATGTCAGCTGATGCCATGCTTAAGGCTCTACTGGGCTCCAAACACACAGTCAACATGGACCTCAGGGCCAACCTGAAGCAGGTCAAGAAGGAGACCAAAGAGGAGGTAAATATTTCAATTCTAACAAAACTGTTCCATCACATTACTGTTTTCACCTTTATTTTCTGCTTTAAAATTAATTGAGATTATGCTTAAATGTTAATTAATAGCAGTAACTGCCAATTGGTTAAACACCAAAGATATTGTATCTATTAGTTATTCTGAAGAGACGCCTTAATAATGGCCAATTAAGGGTCATATTCTTTTTTTTTTTCTTAAGATAATACAGGAAATCTTTACAATGAACGATGCAATGGATTTTTTTTTGTGATTGTTGGTATTGTTAGTCCAGGTATTAAGAGTTTTTTGTTGTTTTATCCAGACAACAGAGGCGGTCGGTGATTGGCGTAAAAACATTGAAGACAAGGCCGACAGGAAGAAGATGTTCGAATCTTCTTAAAATTCTTCAGGATCTGTGAGGATGATGCCAGGGGAGGCAGGTCTGACTGACTGAGCTCATCTCTTTGGCCCTCGGATGCATTCAGGGCCAAGAGTTAGGACACTGACTTACTTTGTGTTACTGTTTCTGAGCATTCTGTACAGCAGTCAGAAGGATGTTACATCATCAGGAAGCATTGTTTATGTGGTTAAACCTGTTTTCTTAAAAACATCACAGAATGTACTGGTTTTCTCAAAAGCGGTAGAAATAAATATGTCGAAAAATAAGGAAATTTGTTGCTGCTTTTATTTAATAGTAAGGTTATTTAAAACCATTTTGATACTTGGGTGAGTCTGAAAAGAGTAAATTGTTATTTTCTTGTTAAGGGAGATTAATTCTAATAATATAGAAAAAAATGACATAATATACATATATTTTGTCTGTTTTTTTAAATAATGATTTCACATAACTGTAAACATTACGTTATTTTTACTAATGTCCCCAAACTGAAACTTGAATCTCACAGTTTGTTATCTGACCTCTAATTTCACTTTTTTATACAGATTGTATGCACGGATAAATTTTTTTTTAGACTGGAACAGGTCAGAGCACATCGAATGACCAATACTGGGAATTTTTTTTTTTTTTATTATAATGTAGGAGACACAAATCAATGTTCAAAGCAAAACATAAGACTTCGGGGCCTGTCAATGGTAAACTGAATTTTTCTTTTTACATTCCAATATAGCAGAAAAAAGGTATAAAGTTAAGGCCAAACTCTTTGACTTTCTAATAATACTGATAGTAGTCAGGTAGGGATAAACCATTGGGAGACAGAATAGACAGATACTGAGACTGCTTTGAATGAGAACCAAATAAATGCATAGATGTTGATTTTTTCTTTTAACATAAACAAATACACAAATAATTGATAATTTAGCTGCTTTACTTGGATCACATCTGTTGGAAAATAAATACTATTTCCCTTTAATTAAATATTTGATAGTTTCCATATAAGTATAAGGAAATAATGCTTAAAGGTTGGAATGATAAGTAGTCTGTTTTTTCATTGACAGTAAACTTGGTAGAAGGAGTCTTTAGCTAAGATAGGAGACGTCTGAGATAGGAGCAACTTGCAGTGGGGCTGGGCAGAGTGTATTTCAGGAGCTTGCAGGCCTATTGGTCTGACTTTCAAATTCATTTCCATAAAGAGGTTCTCAGCATTCTGCTGAGGCATCTCAGGCCACCATATATACGTATTTCATTTTTCTCTGTCCGTGGCTTTGGCAGTGTCTGCTTTTCTTCCAACAAGTGTATACTGTCCTCCTTCCTTCTCTCCATAGGTGAGAACTTCTTCCTTTCTTTTTCTCCAACCTGTTTGAGCCTCTCTGTGAGCAGCATCTTTTCTTTAAGTGACAAGCTGGTTCACCTTTGGCCAGTTCTGAATCCCTAAACTCACTTTCAACATGTTGTAGGTCACAAATGGATGATTTAATGTGATCTGTTTGCAGCCAATTGCAAGTGTCTTAAAAGTTTACTGTATTCCTTTTAAATTTAATTGATCTTTCATGACACAGGTTGTAAGTTTGCTTTAGAAAATGGTTTGACTACATACGATTATTCAAGCCTGTGTTTTTTGGACAGAGTTAGTAAAATGTTACATTTTATTAATGTGTAACCTGTAAAAACCTTTGATTAATTTTGCAGACCGGATTTTGTTTATCTTAGTTTTGTTATTCAAATCACATGGTCATTTTTTCCAATTAAATATTTCATTTAACGGAAAATACAACTTCGCTAAGTTTTGAATAACTATGATTTGTAATACCTATTATAAAAAAAAACTTATTTTTTCTAAATTAAATGAAACCAGTTTTGTTTTCATGTTAGTGGGTAAATTCCATGATGGCCATGCCTCATTTGATCGGTAATATCCTTGTTTTTCGATTATTTCCATGTAAGAAAGTTCAGCTTCGTTGACAGCTAATGCTGTAAGAATGATACTTATGACACAAGTTTATGGTACCTTAAAAAAGTGACACCCTAGCTGGACCTTCCCAGATTAGTTCAGTCTATGTTGCTCTTTCTCAGCTGTGGCCTCAGATCACGTTACGTTGCAAATTCTGCTGTATATCGATGTCCGTGATGCTGATCTCAGACAGCTGATGTGCTTGACTCCTGCAGAATTCCAACATCATATTCTTTTCTCTTATTAATATTTTAATGCAGATCGTGAACGACAAAGGCCATCAAGATGTCTGAGTAAGTTATAATGTCTTTTGTAATGACTGTTTTAAGTTACCTCTGAATATCCACACAGTTAAATGATTACACCATGTTTTTTTTTGTTTTTGTTTTTTTACAGTTGTGTATAGTTTTTGAATAATGCTGTAAAAATGTCAAGTTCTATTAATCAGGGTCATTGCAATTATGAAAAATCTCTCTAAACAGGAAAAAGATGACATCCAGCCGTCGGCACCACCTGAAGGTAAAAGATACGCAGACATTCACCTCTATAGATCTACAAAACCTGCTGCTTAGAAAATTAGGAAATCTTGTTAGAAAATATACTGTATACAGTTGATCAAAAACCACAAATAGTACTGTAGCTCCTGACAGTCTGTTTAATGTTGTGGAAGGATAATATGAAGTCGCAGATTACATACATTTGTTTGCTGTTGTTTGGTTCTGCAGAGCCTGGTGCTTCAGGTTGCTGCAAACTGGCTGGAGAAGGAAAAGCAGGAGACCATTCAGGCCAAAGAGGCTTATATGGCTGAGCACTGTCCCGCTCCGGATATGAATGGAGATCAGGCTGCTCTCATGGTGAGAAATCAGATCAGATTTTATAGGGAAAAAAACACAAAAACAGAAAGGTATGAAGAAGTGAGACTGGAAGTTTACTGAGAAAAAAGGCAGAAATAGCTTCAGAAAGACTATCTACTAACTTAAAAAGAGTCAAAACAACACTATGACACTTTTCTTTCATTTCATTTCATTATTCAAACTCAGAAAAATAAAACAAGAGGGAGAAATGACTAAAAATGCCTACATGTATATTATTCATAAATTATAGAAACACCATTAAGGAATTAGAGAGATCTTTTTAATGCTTTTTAATGATCTTTTTACCTCATCTACAGTCACTAACTAACCAGAATTTAGCAGCTGAAAACACAGCTATGCTGCTTGAGAAGATTAGCTGTTTGCCATAAATTTTCACAAGACAGAGGTCACTATCACCTTTTGTTCTAGAGTGTTGCATTAAGACATGGGAACATGGTTCATGCTAAAAGAGTTCAAGTTATAAAATGTGTTGAATATTTTACAAACTTAAGTGTTGGTTTTAATGCTCAGTGTTAAGTCACATTTGACAAAAAAAATAAGCAAGTCTACACCTTAGCATCACACTGCTGATCTGCACTGCTGTTCCTGAGTTCTTCTATTCAGTTTGGTTAGAATTTAATGAACATTATTGTTAAGCTGTTTCAATATAGTGTCTTTATGATTATATCCGAATAGGAAGTCTGCAAAAAGCTCCATGCTGCCATTGACAAGATTGATGAGGAAAGGTACGACATCGAGGCCAAAGTCCAAAAGGCAGAAAAAGAGGTGCGTCATAGAAAGACACTACAAAACCAAAGTGAAGGAGAAGAAAGCTTCATTGTTTTATTTTCTCACAGATTGAGGACCTGAAGATCAAAGTTGTGGACTTGGTTGGAGTGAAGAAGCCTGCTCTGAAGAAAGTGCGTATGTCTGCTGATGCCATGCTTAAGGCTCTGCTGGGCTCCAAACACACAGTCAACATGGACCTTAGGGCTAACCTGAAGCAAGTCAAGAAGGAGACCAAAGAGGAGGTGAGAAAACACGTTTATACATTTTTACACTTAGGCTAAAATCCAGAAAAAAATGTTAAATCCGTTTCTGTGACTTGGATGTTTTTTTTTTTTTTTAACATATATATATTGCAATTAGAAAAAGATGTTTCTGTCCTCTACAGCCAACAGAAGCCGTGGGTGACTGGCGTAAGAACATTGAGGATAAGGCAGACAGGAAGAAGATGTTTGAGTCTTCCTAGATGGTCTCTGCTGCTCATCTATCTGTTTACATGAACTCCACGTGTCTTATGTGCCGGTTGAACCGATGTTCATTTTACAGCTGAGGGCTAGTGTGTCTCAGGGGTGTCTTTCTGGAAGAAACGTAACGTGTCAGTGTGACTGAAGGGGAGTTTTTGCACTTTGTTCTAGTCTGGAGGGAGGAGGAAGAGAGTGGGGTTTAAGGTTCACCACAAAAACACCATGGTTCCATACACACAGCAACACTCATACACTGAAGGAAACAATAAATAAATCTGTAAAAAGAAATAGTACGTTTGGTCTTTTTTCTGATGTCATATTTTTCATATTTTATCCTTAAATACTGTAAGAAAAGCTACTAAGAAGAAACTAAACCACCAACTAATTACCAAATAAATTTTGTCATGTTTAAGTCAGCAAATTAAGTATGAGTTTGCTAGTCCCAGTCTAAAAATCTATGACCTGCTTGTTTCAGTGGTATATGAGGCGTTAACTTATGGCTGCATATCAGTATATTCAGCCACAGTGATTATAACAGGGTCTCTAACTTATCATTGAGATCTGCTGTTCTCGAACTTTCAGGTACGTCCAACACAGCTCAAGTAGACGATTATCTCTTCAGCATGCCATCAACTTTGGCATAAAGCCTGCTGACAAACTGCCTAACTGATCCAGATTTGTTGGAGCAGGGATCCATTTACTAACTGCAAGGCAGCAGATCTTGATAAGCAAATCTGGGATTTTAGTAGAGTCAAATTTAAGCCTCAACAGTTGCATTATTCAATCAAAGTAATAGAGCTTCTTTAGGTGAATAAAGTAAGTTTGCATTCTGTCTACTGTAATGAGTTATGCACATGTTTTTTCATAAATAGAAAATCAAAAATAGATTAGCGTAACAGCCTAACTTTAACATTAAAATCCTTTTTAATGGTACTAAATGCGTTTGAGTAAAGTTTTTAAGAAATGGTAAGCTCAATATTGAAGTCACAATTCAATGACTCAATGAATTAGATAAATATCTTAGACCCAAATAGTTGAATTATATCAAGCTTTACAGATTATATATGTAGAAGGTACAAATTAGCCTTATTTATTTATTGGTAAAATAACAATTTGTTGTTTTTATGTTTAGTACAGTTCTAAAAAAAAAATGAATGTTGCACTATTTATATTACATTATTCTAAATACTGAAAAAAAAAACCCAAAGAAGATGTTATATAAAAGATTGTATACCTTTTTTCACTGTCACTTGGCATGAGCTGAAAGTGATTTATCTATTTATCTTTATTTAATCAATGCTTGTGTTGATCGTTTTAATCTATTTGACTTCCTTTAAATATTCAGTCATAATCCTACTCCTTGTATGGGGCTTTGAGCTTTGCCTCCTGCCAGAGGTCTCAGACACTCCAAGGCTCTAATGTTTCCTCAGAAGCTAACTTTATCCCTGTAGCCTTTGGAGGAATGTCAATGAGATGCCTCTGAGTTATATTTGGGAAATGTAACTTTACCGGGATTGGTTTGAAAAAATAAAAAATAAAACAAGTTATTTTTAAAATCTGATAATTTCTTTCAAATGTAGAGCTAATAATTAACTTCTGGGTAATCAGAAATTTTAATACTGGGCAGAAGAAGCACAGTTATAGAGGAAAAAGCTCCAAACAAAAACAAAACAAGCCTTGCTGAAAGTTGACACCCCCCATCCCACCCCCATGTATGTCACACATTTTAGGGTGGTCAAAAGCAAAAGCAGCAGGAGCAGCTGAGTCCCCTGGTGCAAGTAATGGCTGAGTCCTTTACTGTCTATCTGTGAAGTTTGTAATTTAGCAGACTTTGATGGAAAGATCAATGTGTTGAGAATGACACAAAGCCTTGCTTACAATGAAAACATTTAATGCATTTTGATAGCAAGCAAGATCTCAGCATGAAGCTTAGCAAGCACTTTTTGTGTATAAGATAAATGTCTGACACAAACTGTTTGCATAGTGCTCAGCTCAGACACTGCTTCTGGTTAAATATCCATTTGACCAAATTGGTTTCAATTCAATTTATTTATATAGCGCCAATTCACAACAAATATCATCTGAAGGCACTTTACAGTTCACCAGCTCATACAGTGAAATTGATTCAAAGCTTTCTATTTAAGGAGAAGCGGTTGATTGCATCAACTCATTGACTCGGATGCAATCCCTCATGAATTGTAGCATGGTTTTTATTTTTAAGTACATGTAGCCTCATAATCAAATCACATGATCTTAATTAAAACATGATTTATTGCTTTCCGAGGCTCTTAATTAATAAATATCCCCACAAGCAACAGTGGCCCCTAGTGGTGGTGATTTTTACTGGTCAAATTCTGAAACCTTTAGGATCTAACCCAGCTCTAGTAAATACTGTTGTTAGTCTATATTTAAAATACTCTTTTGTTCTGACAGAAGGACATGGATCAGTGGTGAAACATTTCAGCAGCTAGTCTTAATTGACTGTGGAAAAAAACTTTGATTTACTGTGATATAGCAGAGCATTGACACTTTATGAAGAATCACAAACCTTAAAATAGAGTTGGTATGCTTCAGTGCAGCGATACTTACCAAATTGTTTGCGTCCATACTAGTGAATTTGTGCAAGTGTGGATACTTTATAAAACAAGGAAATAAATCAAAAGAAAGGTGCATGTTTTTTTGCAACCAGAGACATCAAGCCTAATTTTTGGCAGTTGCAACTAGAAACCATGCTTAAGCAGCCACTGCTTTCCATAGGCAGCTGAAATAAGGGTACCAGATCAGCTGCTACACTGGGACACTGGTGAATTTAAAGTTTTGTTTTAGCCAATGTGGATTAAATGTGAATGGGGTGTCATTGTAGTTATTGCCTTTTAGTCAGATATTACTTTATAATGATGATGTACATCTAGTCATAAGCTGTCTGTGTGTCTGTCTGCTCCTTACCTGTTTCTTAGAGGGCGCAGTCATTGGCATTCATGATACAATAGCAACTTTTTCTGGTTTAATTGGTTGCACCTAATTTTTAAGTGACAAACCGGTCAAGAAGAATAATTAGTCCTCGTCATTAACAATGTTAGAGCTAGTTCCTCTTTAAAAAGCAAAGATTAAAATTTCAACTTGAGAGCTTTTATCCATGATCTACCAATCCAATCGCACACATTTTGTAAATTATTTCTATACTGTTTTCCATATAAAGTACTACTTGAAGGCTTATTGAAAAAAAGTGTTGTGTCAACATAAAAAAATGAAAGTATTTCTACCCAATCATAATATGCTAAGTGATATAAATGCAAATATGCTGGTTCAACATAAGGTGTCGGTGTTACTATTATTTATTTACAAGGTGTAAATCCAAGATAATGATGGGAATGTTGGGTGAACATACAAAATGCATGGAAAGTATTTCCATCCAATTGTGATTCACTCATTTGACAGATGACAGTTTTGTTGAAATGAATGTAAACACGCTGAATAAACAAAAGCTGTTTTTTTTTTGTTTTTTTTGTTTTTTTATTAAGGGGCACTATGCACCACTCCCCTACTTCCTGAATTTAAGGCAGCTTTTTGTTTTCCGTATTTCTCTACCGGATGAACAGATTAATCCAGGTGTGTCTGGCCATTGTTGTCATAGTTACTGATGCCACACACCTGGATTAATCACTTCGTGTAATAGAGAAAGACAGGAGACAAAGGAGCTGCCTTACATTTAGGAAGTGGTGGAGTTGTGCATAGAGCCCATTACAATGGGTAAAATCCAGCATAACCTCTGCATCAGTAGCTGCCAAGGGTGGAGATTGAAGTGGGGCTGGGAACAGCCTTCAGACTGAACCTAGAGAGGATCAAACAGTAAGGAGACCAAAGGTGCAAAGTTTGCACTGCAAACACAATGACATGTTTTAAAGTCAGAATAGAGCAGACCCACTTCTGTCTGTATGCAGATAAATGTTTCATTTTCAAAAGTTCTTTTTCAAATTGAAGTATGAAACAATATGATCATACAATATGGGCAATCATAAAAAGTAAATTCTTGGTTGCACTGATATTTTTTTTACCTTTTCCTTTGTACTTTCCAAGTTATAGATGATTCATCTGTGTTACTGCCATTCTTCAGCTCATTTATCATCTGTCACTCTGGGAAAGTTGCAAAATGTTGTTTTTTCAAAATATGGCACAAGGTTTAGCTTTGGGGCTGGCCATCCTTCTTATTTATGAGTTCCAATGTGAGACACTGCTGACGCTTCCCATTGCCACTTTTGTGAAACCTTTGGTTCAAAGATGCCCTGCTGGAGGAAGGGCTCCATACAGCCGCCTCCTCCACCACCAAGTGTGAAAAGCAAGGAACTCAATTCCTCTGTGTCTTGATTCTGGGGGGGAACTTTGTTGATCCATAGTGATGTTAGTCAACATGAGGTCAAGTAATTCTGATTATCCTTCAGTGTCGCCTCTGCAGGGAACTTTTGGCCATGCGATGGCGCCACTGTTGCGTCAGTCAAACTGCCCACACCAGCTCGCCTCCTTAGTTACCAGTTTTTGGTCATTTTTTAATGAAAAGATCCAACTTTGTAAAACCTGAGGGCTGCTCCAGTCCATCTGGATGGTGACCCCTCCTAAGCCCCCACCGTGGATTCCTTTGTGGGAGTTATTTCTGCATCAAGAGATGGGGAGACCGGTAGCAGGGTGATACTTTCTCCTTTCATTCTCTCTTGTTGTTGTTCATCAGTGTTTCCCAGCTAAGGATGTTGGCTTGGCATTTAGCATTATCAAAGGCACTATGAGGTTTTTGTTTTTTTCGAACTATCGATGGCCTTTCTGGTTACTGTTGCAAAGTTCTCAGTACTTGTGTGCATGTTCATAATATATGCTCTTCCACTCCACAAAAATTATATTTCATGGGATATTGATATCCCTAGCCTTGCATTATAAGATTCAACAGAAGCCAGAAGACACAACATTTCATTATGAGAAGGATGGAGAAATAGGAAGTCCCTGACGCAGCCTCTATGTCCCATTTTATTTTGTTGTATTATTTTATTGTCCTCTTATGTTATTTTTGTCTATTTTGTGATTTTATTTATTTTTATTATGTATTTTATATGTGCAGAACTTTGGTGAACATGTTTCTGTTTTAACCGTGCTATATAAATTAAGTGGATTGGATAAGAAGGTTCTCAGTGCCTCTTTGCTGTGGTAAGTTGAAGTGCAAACAAATTGTAGTTTTCTGTGCAAGGCAGCAAAAAAAAAAAAGAAAGGAAAAAGAAATCAACATCTGCTCCCTCAGGGCTAAG